TAAAAGGGCCTGAAAATCACATGTTTAAACAGAGTGTAAAGTCGAATCTAGGTGAGGCTGAGCCTCAATTGAGCGAATCTAAGTGAGGCTCGAGCCTCACGGGTCTCAGTGGCTCCGCCGCCACTGACTGCTTCCTCGAGACAAGTTTTGATGACGTGCACAATTGAAAAAGAGAAGAAAACCAGCACATTTCTTTGTAATTACAATGGAGTTGCCATCTAATTTTCAAAAGATCGAAGAGGAAAAACGTCAAATATGTCTCCATTCTGGTCGTATTTGAATCAATCGACTTCAGCAACTAAAAATGAAATGTGGAAGTTGAGAAGTGAATCCAAAACTTATAACATTTTTTGTGATCTAATTGCGGCTGACTGATCTACTTAGTCACATATCTTATTTGTATAAAATAAAGTGTCTACCTTTATCGATACTTTTATATTCCGTTATCATCTAAACGTACGCAGATATGAAAAGAAAAGATATGGAAAGACTGGGAAGAGAAGTACGAGCTAGCTTACAACGATTAAGTGAACAAAGCAAAAAGGACGGGCAGCACACAGGTGAGTAGTTATACACACTATACATGATAGCTCATTCGTATTTTCAACTTAGTTACATTCAAAACAAGAGAAAGTACCACAAGAGACGAAGCAACAGGCGAAGAAGAACAATTGCCAAGTATGTCAAGTACGAGTTGTTATGAGAGGTGTAACCGAAGTACCACTTTCGATGGAAGAGAGTACGGAAATGTCCGTATGTTTAGCTAATTTTTTTCAGCACTAACATATCCAGTGCTTACCTAGTAAATGCTGTTATGGTCATGACCGTCTTCTTTTTGTCTGATTCTTTAGTTGAAGAAGAATTAACGTCGGGATCAAAACAAGAATCTTCGAACAAGGATTATGAAGAACAAGGTAGTCGCGAAATAATTGCTTGAAAATGCCAATATGGCATTAATAAATGAAGAAAAACTGAAGAATCTCAATAGGCTTAAAGTCGGATTTCTTCTTCACAATTTTTTCTCATTTCAGATAGCTTTGCAGCATTACGTAAACGAATTCAACACCGCAGGTTACAAGAAACATCACAACGACAACGATCTTGTACTCGCACCGAAACAACACAAGGGGTAGAAGGTATATGGAAAATAAACCATACCGCGCTTCTAGCTTTTGAAGTTCTGCTTTCTTTAGATTGGGACGCAAAAGAACCCGAAGTTTTTCTAGGAACATATTTCGTCCCTCACGTGTACATTACTGGACTACCACAAGACGTAACCAATAAACAAATAAAACTGGTGTTTTCAAAAAGTGGCCAAATCAAGGTACTAGATCGCCAATCTGTTGTCACTCCCCCAATCGGGTAATATTGCCCGAATAGGCAACTTGCCGGTCTCATCTCGATAGCGATTAACTGTCTAATGAGTAGGATGAGTTCACCATGCTTCTCCTTTATTTTATCTAATGCGATCAATGAATTTCAGAAGTTATCTTAATCATTCGAAGAAAGTTTCTACTGCTCCTAAGTGCTAACCAAATATCTCATGAAGTTCACCGACAATCTTTTATTAAAGAAAATTCAAATAGCTAACGTCATGACTACGGTGTTAATTTAGTGTTATTTTATCAAGTAAATATAAATGAATGAGAAATTTATCTTTATTTTATTAAAGTAAATGAATCATTTATATTCATTTTCTTTATTTCTAACTTTAATTAAAACAAATTTCAAAGTAAATAAAGGTAGAAATAAGGAAAATACATATAAATGATTCATTTACTTTTATAAAATAAAGATAAATTTTTTTTTCATTTATTTGTATTTATTTTTTGAATATAAATCATTCATTTAGATTGAGTTTCTAAAAAAACACTAAATTAGGAAGAAGGAAGAATACCTCAGTTACTAATACTAGCTGTAGCTCTGGACAGAAGGCCGGCCTGACTCAAAGTTGTTTCGCTCAATTGCTTGAGCGAGTACACACTGACTAACCACATACTAGCCACGAGGGGCGGTGTATGTCACAACGTAGTCAGCATAGATAAAAATAAAAAAAAAATAATAGATAAAAACGTATAGTAACAAAAAAATCAAAGGGTATACTTTCAAGTTTCCTCAACTGTATATAACTGTTATCTAACTTCTCTGACACGCAAAAACTTACTTTCACATTTATGAATATGGCTAAAACGAAACTAGCGGTACTGCCTGTGCTAATATTAATCATGATCAAGGGTACGGAGATACAACCTATAGATTCCTTGATTTAAAATAAGATCAGATTTAACAGACAATATTCAATTCTTTAAAGAATCAACATCTATTAAAACTACAGACAGACTTATTAAAACATTTAACAGTTAAAGAAATAGTATTTGCTTTACTGAGAGGTCTCAGATACGCAAATGTGAGCATGTAGTCATGAATAGGGATGTTAATTTAGTTTTATTGTTTATTTATAATAACGGATAAATACAAATGAATGATTTATATTTATAAAATAAATATAAATAAATGAAAAAAAAGTTATCCTTATGTTATAAAAGTAAATGAATCATTTATATTTATTTTCTTTATTTCTACCTTTATTTACTTTGAAATTTGTTTTAAGTAAAGTTAGAAATAAAAAAAGTAAATATAAATCATTCATTATTTTATAAACATAAATATAAATCATTCATTTATTTTTTTCGACGATACGAGGTAAAACATAACTTGAACTGATGAACTGTGTAACACTGATGTACATTCGTCGCGGATAGTGTTAATAATTTTTTAAAACAATAGCAGTAATCTTTTTGTTGTATAAATATCTTGCTAAAACATTTACATTTAATCATTCATCGTATTCCAGGACCAAATCGGGCCAGGAGTCGTGATAACAGACGGGGGGGTCCATTGTCTCCATCTATTACCTGTCTTTCTGTTTAGACTATCGGCGGCACAGAACAAGTTTATGTGTACCCAATGTCCCTCAATGGCTTCAAATGTGCGTCGGTCGAGTACACAAGCACAAAGGAAGCAACACAAGCAATTTGCGATTTCAACAGTAAGTCTGCAAACTGTTAAAATAAATATCGCTCATACAATATATACTTTTAGACAAGGCATTATTCATATTTCAACATCATCCAATAAAAGTTGATTACAGTAAGAACTATCAAAAATTCGTAAATCGCAAACATCGATACCCAGGTCGACTGTCACGCTGAAGTCGCGGCGCGACTCGCGATAAAAATTCGCGCCGCGAACGCGCTACACGATCGCTAAGATTCTCGCGAAATAAGTCGCGATTATCATTGATTGATTCTCTTCATTCGCTATTGTCGCGTCGCGATTATATTATAGTCGCTATACCCAATTATTGTTTGTTCTACGCTTTATCTGTCGTTCGATCCAGTTATAACAACAAAAGGATTCACAATGCGTACTTTTATCTCATGCTTCTCTTTAGTTTAGGAGTCTGCTCTTAGGTAACGGAAAATGGGATTAATTCGTATAATAGTCGACTAAAACTTCGCTGTTTTCCCAAATTTATCGCTGGTTCAGTTAAGAACAGGACCAATTGACAGTTATTACACTACGCAGCTTGTGTACCGGCCAAAACGAACGATAAATTTGGGAAAACAGCGAAGTTTTAATCGACCATTATACGAATTAATCCCATTTTCCGTTACCTAAGAGCAAACTCCTAAACTAAAGAGAAGCATAAGATAAAAGTACGCATTGTGAATCCTAGTGTTGTTATAACTGGATCAAACGTTAACAAGTATATTTTTCTTTCATAAAAAATTTAGAATGGGTTTCTGATATTATTACCTCTCTGGCTATAGCTGCATCATGTTTTACTCGGACTTTTCTTCGAGAACATGATGCACTCACTTTTTGAAATTTACATCGATCCTACGATGCCTTCAGTACGCCACAATTTCTGTCTAAAATGGTAAAAGACATTTTAG